GCCCGGCCCGCGCGCGGGCAGCAGGGAGCCACAGCCCTGCCGCCGAGCCCTTGGGGGACGGGGGGGAGGTTCCAGGGAACGAGCAGCAACTAACTGGGGCTCCCCCTCCTGGGGGGCAGGCCGAGGTGCTGTTTGGGGAAGCCCGCCCCGGCGGAGGGGAAAGCAGCCAGACGAATGCCCAATGGCACCTGGCAATGCCCCGCGGCAGACAGGACACTAGGCGAGAGGGACCTTTGGGCTGACCGAGCCCTTGGGGGACGGGGGGGAGGTTCCAGGGAACGAGCAGCAACTAACTGGGGCTCCCCCTCCTGGGGGGCAGGCCGAGGTGCTGTTTGGGGAAGCCCGCCCCGGCGGAGGGGAAAGCAGCCAGACGAATGCCCAATGGCACCTGGCAATGCCCCGCGGCAGACAGGACACTAGGCGAGAGGGACCTTTGGGCTGACCCCGTCGGGCCTTCCCGCCCCTGTGCCAAGCCCGGGGGGGGGGGATGGCCAGCAGCCTGGGGACTCGGGTTCACTGTACCTAGCCAGGTAGCAGTCAGCCAATAGCAATGCAGAGAGGGATTTCAGACCAGGACAAAGGAATTTGGGGGTTTGCCCCCCTTTGCCCCTGGGCAGGTGACTCCCCAGATACCGAGGGGGGCAGACAACACGTCCCTCCCCAGGAAAAGCCTCTTCGGCGTCTGTAAGCAGGGCAAAGGCTAGCTGAATCCGGCCGGTTTCCGGTCTGGGAATGGGAAGGTGATGTCTGTGCATTTAGCAATGGGGGTGCCTCTCTTTTGTCACTAAGTTTGGTTCCCATGGGAAAATTCCCCGAGTTTATTCCTTGGTGGCTCTTCCCATCTAGTCGACCCAGCTCTGCTTGGAACAGGCGTATTGCTGTGACCATAAACATGCTTTCTTGTTTCTTAGCCTGGTATGGGTCAGTCCTGGGCCCTGGACAATCTGGCTGTGGGACCTGCAGGCCTCTGAGTAGGGCACAGCAGCCCTAGACGGCCGTTTGGATTTTCTCTTTTCTTGTCAAGCTCTTTGGGGAAAAGATCTTGGGGTGCCTGGGGGTTGCTTTCAAGTGTCCACCCCGGTTGTGGGTTCAAAAGCACTTGCTGGTGGCAGCGGCTTTCTAGCCCCCAAATGAGGTTTTTAGGATTTTGGGGGGAAGCCTGGGGAGATCAGGTTCTGGGGGACTTTTACAGGCCCCCACTTCTGCATTCATCGTGCCAGAGTGGGGCACTAGCCTTGACGGGGTTAATAGCACCCTGTGCAGGAGGGAGAGGCGCCGGCTACTCCCTCTCAGCAGCCCGGACGCCTCTGCCTTTCGGAGCCCGCGCTTAGGGAAGGAAAGAGGCTGCTGGCCGGCCCTGCCAGGACCAGGAGGGAAGGAGACACAAGATGGGTGGGCTATGACCTGCAGGCGGGAGACACGTTTTCGAGCCCCGGAGTCGCTCCCATAAAAGGAGTTTCCTCCCCCCCCGCGCTGCTCTGACATCCGGGGCCCACACGGCGCCAGCAGCGCTGCAAACGGCGGGAGGGAAGGGGCATTTTGGACTCCTCTCTCACAGCTCACGGCCCCAGTCCCCAGCACCGGTCTGTCCCCTCCGCGCGTCAAAGGCCAAGCTGGCTGGGTCATTTGCAATCCTGGACATTATCCGCCCCAGGTCTGAGCAGGACATGGGCCCAATCAGCCCCAGGGAATCACGCCAGCCCACGCTGAACCCAGGCCACGCTGCACTGGGGTTGGAGAGCTCAGCCAGGCCTGCGTGGACACCGCGTGCCGATCAATCTCGCCTGGGGCACAACAGGGCCCCTGTGGTGGGCTGGGGGGCCATGCCGGACCCGAGCAGGCTTTGCGGAGGGCATGCGGGAGGAAGAGGCCCGGAGGGAGAACACGGCCCCCGGGGGCTCTGTACTCACCAGATGTTAAGGCACATCTTCTGCAAAACGTGTGCTGCGGAGGCAAAGAGGCACAGCAGCGTCAGGCTCCCGGCCAGCAGACAAACGGCCCCGGGGGTGGGGAGCCAGGCCGGCCGAGGCAGCAGATCCGCTCCCTGTTCGGCGCCGGAGCGTGCCCCTGCGCCCGCCCCGATGCCCCAGCAACGACGCAGCCCGCACCCAGCCACGTGCCTCAAAGCGAGCCGGACCCCCGCCCACGCGTCCCGAGCACCTCCTGGAACCCAGCCGCACTGGCCCTGCTCCTCGCTGAACCCTGGGGCTGATTTCCTGGGGTTCCCTGCCCCTCCTGCCCACTGCAGCAGAGAAACGATGCGTGTAACGGTGTACGAAAGCAGCGCCTCCCCCCACGTGGCGAGCTGCGCTGTCCCCCCATCCCAGCCACTGGGAGCTCTGAGGCTGCCCGAGGCACCGCTGTGCAGCTAGAAGGATGGACAGGTGGCTCGTCACCGGCCACGTCACATGTCCCGTCCTCCAACAGCCGCAGCTCCAGCTCAGGCTCCAGCGAACGGGCGGCGCGAGCACAAGACAAGCCCCGCGGCGGCTCCCAGGGCCCTGCGCGGACTCCGGAGCTGGCCCCGACGTGGCATCGTCACTTGCGACTCTGCCCACTGCTGTTCCCGCACTCGGTTATCGGTGCCTCTGCTGCAGCCTCCCCTTCCTGCCTCGCACGGCTGTGCGCTCCCCCGGAGCTGCCAAACGAAACCCGTCGGCTTCCTGCCGCGGAGGGCTCCTGTCCATATTAACCAGTAAATCTCACACTGCTGCCGGCTGGAGCGGCCACTTGGGGCCGTGTGCAGAGCCGGCTGGAAAGGACCACACTCCAAATAACGCGCGATGTCTTCATCGCCCTCCGGATCCGGGCTTCTCCTGTGCTAGACCTAACCTCGGCTCCCACGGCACTTGGCCAGCAGTAGAGTGATAGACGCCAACACTACCACATGGATACAGTCCTTCCGCCGCTGGCCCAGAGGCAGGAATCCTACACAGCTAGTATGAACATGCAAATCGAATGGCACCTATCAAAGTAATGACTGTATCTGCACATCGACTGGGCCTTTTTATGGGAGGATCTCAAAAGACATAACTCCATCAAGCCTCGCGCCAGGCTTGGTAGATAGGGACCCGTCCAGCCCTGCCAAAATGCAGCCAGCTCTGGGGTGGAGCCCAGCAGAACGCAGAAGTGCTACACAGCAACACTCGCCAGGACTGGAGCGAAGGGCCACGCGCCTAACTGTACTAAGACGGGACGATGCGCTATGAAAAGTGCTTTGGGATAATCGCATCTGACGGCACGGCTGGGGGTGCGGCGTCCCGTCCCACCTCCCTCGGGCACCGGTTCCGAACCGTCACCTCCTCACCAGCCGTCCCCTTCCTGGAGACTGTGTGTGTTCCTGCCAGGCCTCCCCTCACCTGAGCACAGACCGGCTTGGCTGGCCCCCCGCCCGCTGCCAGCCACACTTAATTCACAACGCCCGGGGCAGCGACGTGGAAAGAGGCCTCCTTACCCCACAGGTTGTGATGACCGGGTCTTTGAACACGCTACAGCACAGCTGGCAGCAGAGTTTCACCGACGGCTG